ATTTCCCTGCTAATGCAAGATGTTCTTTGTGATAGTTCTGCCATCCCTTAGCTTCATTATACTCTTTCTGTAAACATTTTTTTTTTAAATGTCACAGTTGTTGGATAGTGGCTGTGCCAGTGTAATTTAGCTATATTGGCTTTAAATACATTTTAAATGATGGCTAGGATTTTGGTTGCTCTCCTCTCCTGCTCCTCCTTCTCCGTGTCTTCTACTTCCTCAATCTCTCTTTTCTATTTGATAACAATCAGCAAATATGAAAAGTAAATTCGGGAGGAAATGTTGGCAAATGGGTTTTGAGTAGATTGTGCATGAATATTTAATTTGGCCATAAAGGAAGGGTTTAGTACATTAATGGGTTTTCCTCTGCTGTCATTCGATTTGACCCCCACCCCCCCACCCCCCCACCTGGTGCATTCTGCTATCTGGCCTGCTGATTGGTTTTGTTAATGACTGTATTTATACTGATCAGAACATAATGATTTTTTTAGGGGAATGGAGGTTGTCAGACTTATATTGGAGGGATTTATTAAAAAGAAGAAATAATATTCAGGAGAGACTAATGGAAACGAATTACATATGCATCTGATATATAGCCTTTATAAAGAAACGAAGCATTTTGTCTTTAGTTCTATGAAGTCTTTGATAATTGCATCTCTCCTCTTATGAAGTTAAAGATTGAGCTGTTTCAGGACCTGTGCTCATTAAACATCTGAAAATAGAAGCACTGATGCAGGCTTCCTTGTCAGGTTACTCCCCTGCAAAATAAAACTCAATTATTCTCCCATAAAACACTGAAGCTATTTTAAGATACTTTGGGGCTCCAGTCCCTTTGTCTACCAGCATTGTTTACCATTGTGCTGGCCACAGAGCCCAACAGTCCAAGCTGGCTGGGTGGACCACCTTGACAGCTGGAGCGTTGTCACCTCTGGATCCCGACAGCTTTCCTTGTTTTTCTGACCTTATAACACTTTAGCTGAAAGCTTCGGCTTAGATTAAACTCTGGTAAAAATCTGTGTATCACACCAGTTTTGCAAATATGATAAGAATATAATTTTTTGGAGTACTTTATAATGTGGCCTACTGCATCTAGTCAGTCCAATTATTATCTGTCATGCTGTGAAACCATAAAGATGTATAGTTATGTTATTCATATTATTTATAAACTATGGATCTCTGCACATTTGATTCAGTTTTTACTGATGCCACATCATTTATATTGTTTTTATTGACCTTGTTTTTACTAAGAATTACCCTTTTTGTATTGACCATTATTGCTACTTGGTCAATCATGTCTTGTGTTGTCTTGTGTTGTTGATTGTGTGTAAAAGAGGGCTGATTCATTCACTGTAAGCCAAGTCTACCTATGTTACATAACATAGTAACTTACCTTACCTCAATACCAAATAAATACATCAAATCATTACGTCCTAGAGTAACAATGCAACAGCCACCCAGAATGAAGTCAATCTTTCAATCATTCAGTCAAGAACAAATACTCACTTCAGTTAGTTTTGCAGTGTGTGTTGTCATTATGGCAATGGGGGAGACAGTGGACAGCCACTTTGAGTCTGGGCCGGCTTCAGCCAGGGTGTGATCTCCAGCTTTTGGCTGTATTTGATAAAGATTAATTCAATCCAATTTTCTGCCCCGAAATGCTTTTGCTAATGTAATTCTCTGTGTGTCAGATTCCCTGCACTCTCTCTCTATGTGTGCATGTGTCTTGTCTGTCTCTCGCCCTCCTAAGGAACACTAAGCACTTTATCCATGTTGAGGGCTAACAAAAGCAGCAGAAAGAGAGATCAGTCGTAGAGTGTTGTAAGTCTCCAGGACTGATTCATTATTTGTGGATAAGTACACGCAGACAGAAACACACTGAGACGTTTTATCTCCTGTGTGTGTGTGTGTGTGTGTGTGTGTGTGTGTGTGTGTGTGTGTGTGTGTGTGTGTGTGTGTGTGTGTGTGTGTGCGTGTGTGTGTGCGTGTGTGTGCGTGCGTGTGCGCGCGTGTGTGTAAACATATGTGATTAATAGGAACATTTTCTTTGTTTTTGGTGTATTCATTTTGTAATATCCAAGGACTATTTCCAAACTGTGCTTTTTCTGTCACTCTGCTATAGTTTGACTTGCAGAGGCGTGGAGAGACCAGTAGAGGGTGCTGTTCATTTTAAGTGATAATTCAATCAACCTCTTGCATGAAAAGAGACTGAATTTGCTTTTATTGTTTAATTTAATTTAATAGTTTGTTGAAGACACATGAAATCCTAATCCTTCAAAAATTGATTTACAGAAATAATTTAACAAAATAATGATATTGAATGAATTATAAATAATACTGAATAATAAGCCAGTGAAAAATATGTGAACTGATAAGGGATTTTCTTATAGTTTCTGCTGTAAGTCATGGTTCACCAAAGAAATGTGTTACACTAACATACAGTTTGTTTTACAGCTGTTTCTGATGTCACTTAGGGTTCTAATCCATACTTCACCCACTGCAGCTAAAATGAGAAGTATAGCAGTTTAAACATTTCTCTTATGATATTTATTCCTGCTGTGGCTCCACATCAGACTCCTCAGGCTGTGGTATCAGAGTGTGTGTGTGGAGTTGTGTTTATGTGAGGGTTGGAGGTTAGAGGTGGAGCGTATATGTGTGTAAATGTGTGTGAGTATATCTAGTGGTGGACCTATATGATCTCCACTTGCTCTGTTGTCTCATGTTGTCACAGTGACCTCTACTGCTTACATGGTGACCCATCCCTGAATGCTTACCTCCCCCACCACAGGGCATGCATCAGAGCTTCCCAGGCAATCTACAGCCCATAGTGCTCTAAGAAAAATGTTTCACTGAGGAAAAAATAAGTTGTTAATCCTAAGTATATATCACCTTGGCGTCATTTTTTTCTCTTGTTTTGATGTTGAAATGACCTTCTCCAAGTCACAGCACAAGCCTCAGTCGGCATTACTTTACGCATATCTCCAAAAAGTCCTTCTCTGCATTGAGTCTCACAACAATTGCAATAAGTTCCCTTTTTAAAGCAGTAGAGGGGACTCATTAACATTAAGCTTTGTTTTAATTTAAGGTCTAATGCCTATTTTTTAAGTCAGCAAAACATTTAAATGCTTTTTAATTCAATTTATATGTGGAATCATTTTTTTGAGGCATGGAAATGTCTTGAAATTACCACTAGTGCATTAAAATCTGCTTTCTTGTTGTCTTTCCTATAAAAAAAGAACATTTTAACAGATCTTATTAGTGTGCAGGTAAACGTACATGGGCCTAGAGCTCGGCACATATGGCACTAAGAAGTGCATGACCAATATGGGATTTAAGAGACTGTTATCAGGATTGATTTTGAGGGAAATAAATTATCTTCAATGTTTAGCTTTATTGGAGCCAATTTAATCAACTTAAAATACATTTTTTTCACTTGGTATATCGCATAAATATGACCATGCAAAGGTTCTCAGAGGGCTGTTCTCTTAAAAAAAAATTGTATTTAAAATGTAACAATGAAAGATACATTGTAACAGCTGTAGTTGGAAGTACACCTGATATACGTCTGCTGAAAGAATTAGGAGTTGAGCTCTGTTTTTAGGATCTATAATATAATGTCTGATGAATAACCCATGTCCCTGATCATTTTTGAACATGAAATGCAATATATAAGTGTACATACATACAGGATGAACACATTTTCACTGACACACCAAACACTCTGCCTTTCATAACTTATGAAAGTATTCTCCGTTTTACTTTCACGTCCACCAAGCAATTTTTTTCATCATTGAATGCATTTTCTGGCAAAATGATGCTTACTGTTGCATTCTTTATAATAACCATAGTATGGGTAAAGTCACATCTGGAGTTTTTCCAGTGTTGCCACCTCTGGACCAGTTTCCTCTCATATGGTATAAGTCCCTTTGAGTGAGAGCATGTGATAAATACTAATCTAAGTGTTGAATAGCCTATCAGAGAGTCCCACTCGAGGCAGCACTGTGTGTGAGGAAAGAAGGACTCAAGGAATGAGAGTCACTTTACTTATTCCTCTCTACAACTAGTTATTGATATAGTGCTTGAATATTAAAGCAGTGTAGTACTAAAAGCTGGCTTTGACTGTGACCTAGCGATACTGTTTCACACAGACACAGCGCACACATACACACAAACACAGACCCTTCATCCTGTCTTAGCATGTGAAGATGTTCTTTCCTGTGAGGGACTGCTAGATGAGGAGAGTTGAGGTGATGATGACTGCACTATTCAACAGTCAAGTGCGTGTGTATATGTAAGTGTGTGTGTGTGTGTGTGTGTGTGTGTGTGTGTGTGTGTGTGTGTGTGTGTGTGTGTGTGTATGTAAGAAGGCAGCAGGTTAAAGAGAGGGGAAGCCAGCTAGCACCTCTTCTAGCTCCCCCTCAGCTGCTGGAGACATCAAGTGTAAAATTGCACACACTTTCAAACACACTCCATCGAACATCATGAGGTCACATTTACACACACACACACACACACACACACACACACACACACACACACACACACACACACACACACACACACACAGAGTGCTGGGGAAACTACTTATAGTAAAACAAACTTTTAAGTTCTTCACAAAGGATGTTCAACTCCACCAAGAGTTACCTTAACCTTAAAGTAACGTCTGGTTTTGTAATAATCCTGACCCTGCATGTGTCTTTTGTAAAGGTTGCAAAAGACAAATAACGTAATGCCATTTTTTCAAGAGTTTAAGGAGCTGTTATTGGCAGTATTAAACAGGATTGAACAGAACAGTACATTTCAAAATGACATAATAAAAACAGAAATAATGTCAGGACTACAAGTGACTACAACAGAGAAAACTAGACGAATATAGTTTAAGTTATATTGTTGTTGTACCGCATGCAAGAATTAATTCATAAATTTCATGTCATTTATGAAAATTGTTGATTGATGAAGATTTTGCCTAAGATTTGTCTAAATGTTGTATCTCTTTGTTTTAGCAACAACGGCGTCTGGACCTGTTAACCATCACCAACTTTGGTAAGTGCATGAGATCTTTTTAACTTTTTTTTGGCTACTCTTCTTCGTCCACACTTTACCATTGGCACAAAACCTTTCTGAGATGCTGCAATAGGCTGCTCAGCATTGGTACTTTTCATGTTTTTATTTCAATTTTTTTCCCCCTAACACACTTTTAGCCACCAAAAGGGGTTCCAAGCTGTTTTCTGGATGCTATTCTTCCTTTACACACACATGGTGCTTGAGGTCAGGAGCACCCTGAAGCAGCAGTAACATGAGCAGCTATATGCACGCTGTCTTACGGTGCATTATATTAGATGAACTAATGCCTTGGAGCTTTTATAATGGAATATTCTGGAGCTCATGAATTCAGTTGTAGTCACACAGGTCATTGAGGCAAGCGTGTGCCCTAAAGCATTATGTAGTTTTACATATCTATTTGTATTATCATTCGGATTGTATTTCGACTCATGACTTTTTATTCAGTTATTATTTGGCAGCTTTTGAGTCATCTGTGAATGTCATATGTCACATACTGTCCATATGACTGAACACCTGTGTGCCTGTGTACGGCTATGTTTATTTGTCTGTATGTCAAGCGGCAACCTGAAGTGTTGAAATATGAAGCCAATGCAGAAGTTTTGAAATATGAAGCCAATGCAGAAGTTTTGAAATATGAAGCCAATGCAGAAGTTTTGAAATATGAAGCCAATGCAGAAGTGCAAAAAAGAAAGCTGCAGTTCCTCGAGTGTACACTTGAGCCCCAAAAGTCACATACAAACCTATTCAAAAACACCTATTTTGACAGCAGATAAAAATATGTTCCTGGTTCAAGAAACAGTTTTGGTCTGATCAGCTCATGTCCTTATTGGCACACACTGTATGGGGTGTGACTTTCTTCATTTTGATTTTATGAAGAAAAATTATTATTCATAATAACGTGCGTGGTTGACCTAACTTACGGGCGGGCTCGTTGTAGCTGTTGGTCAGGAGGCTTAAAACGCCGTTCAGCTCAAGATCTTTGCCTGTTATTATTAGGTTGACCAGATGTTAGGTTGAAACAGCATTTCCAATATGGCGACTGTCATCGAAGGGCTGCAAACGTCCCTTCTGTAACCAATGAGAAGGGACTAATTCATAGGTCTGGGAAATTGTTCATGGGGTCTGGGAAATTTTGATTAGTTTTTCTTACTACTTAATCATTAAACTAATGTTCTAATCAATGCAAACAAAACAAAAAATCATTCCACTCCTGAGAAGCTGTAATGTAAATGCTTGAATCATTTGTGCATAAAAACATTGGAAACACTCAAACTATTAAAAAATGTTTTTAGTAGGTTTTTATATTCTGTATACGAGAAGAAAAATATATTCTGCAAAGAAGTGTCAACAGTTTCAAATCTGCACCCCAAACTTGTAACATGTAGAAGTTAGACACACATATGGAGCTCCAAGTTTGACTGGTTGTGCAAACATGTCACAAAGTTGTTGTTAGAAATCTCTGCCGTCTTTTAGTGAAGAAAGGCAGCTGTGAGAAGGAGGGATCCACTGAGATGGAAAGCAAGGAGAAATCTGAAAACTGGGGGAGGAGAAACAGATGGGGACGGTGAGGAGGATACAGAGACCCATATGTCTAAAGTATCTGGATGATCTAATGTGCTTTGATTAGAATAATGCATATGTGAGGCTCATGGAAACCGGGTTAATTTAGCGGATTTATTTTGCAGCTGTTCCTCAGGCCCTGGGCAGAGGCAAGTCTCAACCCTGCCAATCACATTTCGACAGAGGGCAAACAGAGGGGGAGAAAGAGGGAAAGAGTGTGAGAAAACTTTGTAGCAACACCTTATATGGTCATGTTAGAAAGGGGGGAAAGATTAAATTACATATAAAATGATGCAGTCATCTTGTTATCTGACAGTTATGTAAATGGAGGTTTGGCTATTCATTATTATTAGTTCTGTTTAAAGGTGTTTTCAGAAACATAAAATAAATGCTATGAATAATTAGTTCTACATCTTGCTGTATCAGAAATCTACACAAAACCATACAAAGGATGAAGAACAGAGAAATTTCATCAACCTATAGTAATGAATGGATTACTTTGAGTTGAGGAATGACAATAGACTTTCAAAGTTTCAAAAAAGAATGGGAAGAGCGTTGGCCTTTCCACTGCCGTTATGGTTTGTTGAGAAAAAGATTTCTAACGCTAACACGAGTCTTACATTTTGTACTTTTTGTTTGTCTTTACAACAACAAAACTACATTTGGGCTTTCGTCATTTGTGGTGCACCCTTATGTGAATAACTTGTAAAATCAGCAGAGAAAGTTTCTTTTTAGCATACATGCTAAGGGTCAGTCACTAGGAGAACTTGTGATCTTTTATTTTCTTTTGTCATTACATGGTTTAAGACTGGAGCTGCAAAAGAACATTTGGACAAGTCACCCAGGTGTCGTGTGTGTAGCTGTTTGGACTTCATTGTTGTTTTGGTAAAGGGTGATTTTTTTTCTTTTTTTTTCGAAGACCAATCACTCTTTTCATTCACTCTTACAAAAAGGTCCCATCCCTGGAGGGCTGCAGAGATATCTGTCGTTCTGCAGGGATCCCCACACCTCTTTAGAGAAAACCTCGATTAGATCAGTCACGCTTCATTCACTGACAAAGACCATCTCAACAAGCTACTGTTGGTGTTTGAAAGTGGCCACTTCCTGGCATTAACAATGTTCACGAAGAGTGACCTTTATGCAGCTATCAGGAAAGTATTTCCAAATCGTAAAGATTGGCAATGCATACAATTTTAGTTTCTCTAGTTGAGAATTACTCGATAGGACTTTGTATTTAAAGCTCCTGTGGAGGAAGTTTTCATTTTTGACAATCACCTCTGTGAACAAAGAGGTATCTTTTATATTTGTCTTGATCTTGTCCTGTAGGTCTACATGCCGAGGTTGTCTTATGACTAAAAATTCCATTCTACTGTCTTTAAACAGTCAACACATCACTCTCCATACGTCTTTAACATGGAGAATGTAAATAAAGGGTCGGCTTGTGCAGACAGGATTAATTACAGTCTGTTTCATTAACAGGTAAAACTCCTCACAGGAGCTTTAAAGTAAATACAGGACCAGTAAAGTATTTTGGGTAACTACGTACATCACTTGTTGGTCTCTTTCCTGAAAACTGCTCCAAAAAGGGAATGTCCTTAAAATTATACACATTATTTTAATCCAATATTTATTGTCCTTGATGGTTGTTTATACAATTTTTGTGCAAGGTGATAACAAAAAAAATGCCCTTCAGACATAATACTATTAGACTCACTGTGACGCCACATTTAAATTACATTTATACTTTAAAAAAATGTTCTTTAAAACTTCACGTCTCTTTGGATGAGCTTACAGGATATTCCAGTAGTCACAGCAGGAATCCTCTTCCTATTGGGTCAGCACTCATGAAGGAGCCCTCGCTGGACTGAAATAGCTTTCAAATATTCCTCACTGAAAGGTTTCTTTCTTTGACCGGCATGGGGATCCATGTGCTGTGTAAGTTATTGCAGTTCATTATTCAGACTGTTGTTACGTGTGGCCTTGAAGGGAAGTCTATTATATTCTTAACTTGGCAGACATATTTTATCCTGCCCCGCTGCTTATTACTATTCACAGTTGGTGAGCGGACATGCACACACACACACACACACACACACACACACACACACACACACACACACACACACACACACACACACACACACACACACACACACACACACACACGCACTCACGCACATACTGGACATGGTGAAGGTTATTATGATGGCTGTATGAAGAGCAGGTGAGGCTTTCAGATGAATGACTCTGATGGGGAAACACATGCAGGACACCCTCTCCTTCTGCCGGCAGATTAAAGGAGTTTCTGCTCCCTCGCTCCCGTTCTTATTCTCTGCTCGTTTCACTGAGCATCCCTCATTATCCATTATCATTTGTGAGTGATCTTATTTATCACATCTCCTTTGTCCTCTTATTTCTGCCCTTTTGTCTTGTATTATTCCCTCCCTGTGTGTGTGAGAGAGAAAGAGATTTGATACGGATTGTGCCCCTGCTGCTCTGTTGGCTTCTTTCTCTTATGGCGTTCATTAGCTCCTTCACATGTATTTATTGTATTTATACATTTGATATATATGCACATGATGGAGTAAAAACAACAACAAAAACACACAATCTTAACTCTGTCTTTCTCATTTCACACACACACACTGACTTGCTCCACCACGCAGACCCACTCAAACCTCACTCGGTCCTCTTTAATTGCACACTTGAGCAGTGCACGGCTGCATCTGGCTCCTGTTGAACACAGCCTGACATTTCAGACCGCTGACCTTTCCAGCCCCGCCACAACTAAATAATGATTAGTCCTGGCAACTGTTCCAGCACAGCATTAGCCAGGTACGCTCACACAAACACTCACGCACGCACAGGTGCAAACAGACGCAAACAGAACAACAAAAACACCTGCGCTGAAGGCTTTGTCTTTTCACAGTGAGAAAATGGGGTGCAGACATTGATTTGAGAGGCCATTGTCATTCCTTTAGTTTATCGATTAGATTGTCCTTTTCCATATCTGCAGTCAGCAGCCAATAAAGTGTTGTTCTAAATTAACTCTGCTCGCCTCTGTTTAGTTTCTCCTCTCCCCTTTATGCGTTCTCAGCATTACAGCGGAAAAAAAGGTCAATCATATTCATGAGATCTGGGCAGATTTGAGAGGAAGGCTTTGTACGAGTGTGTACATGTGTGCGCACTTTCTAGGGTTGTGCGCAGCAGGAGGAATAAAGCACCATGAAGATAATAGACAGCTCTCAAATCTCTCCTCACTTTCTTCTTGTTTTACTCCATCACTTCTCTCTTCATTTCTCTGCTCTTTCTGTCCAAACACAGTAGGAAAGCTTCTTTCTCGACAGATATTCGTTGTGTTTTCTGCTTTGCTCTTTTCAGACACACCACAGTACATGTCTCAGAAGTCAGAGGTCATT